TCCCAGTGATCCCAAGTACAAAATTTGTTGAAAATATGCGAGTGCATGGATGGATTATAGCTGGAGATGAAATTTATGGGAAAATACATGAATTGAAAGAGCTTTCACCAGAGTTTTGAGCGTTTTCATTCCTTGCAATGGTGCTTGTGGCGACCTCAGGCGACATTTAGCAATTCGTGCAATTCGGCAATCTCCACGTATGTTCTTCCTGGCATCTCTCGGGGTTAACCCTAGGAATGGAGTCTGTTGAGAATCGCAATCCCAAATTGAGAGGATATATACTGCAATTTGATTTGATGGAAACCATTATTGTAGTTATTATCATAACTGATATGTATGCAAGGATGTCGAAAAGCTGCATCACATGAGAAGAAAGGACCCTTTGGTGGATGAAATGTTTCATTTCAACAGATTCAGTGTCTCATATCCACAAGCAACACGAATCCCCCCAATTTTCCAGCTGCTGAGGATCAACACAAGCAGCAACAAGTTGATCAACAAAAAGTCAGAATTCATCAGCACCGTAAGTGTACAGCTGCACTGACAGGCACTGATTAATCTCAGGGTATTTGATTCTTGACTTTCATTGGCTTCTTTCATACTACTAATGACGTTTCATTATAATTGTTGCAAATGATGTAACATGCCACATGAAACACAAAGAGAGAAGTTCATTCAGGGATACCTAGGACAGCAGCAACGCTACGATTGTGACAGTTTGGGAACACCCAAGAGTTTCATCACAGACTTCTTGTATTGCTCAAGGGATTCCAAGGATTCCCCTGCAAAAGAAAATACCACTTGCTTTAGAGAAATGTCCAGAGTGTTCAAGATAGCAAGGGAGACTACTATAATTAGAGTACAACTGACAACTTAAAAGTAGGAATTACATTGCATGATTATACAGGGTGATCCAAAAAAAAGGTATGTTTCACAAAAGCAGATGCAATTTTTGCTGAATGTGTAGATGAGGAAACATACCCTGATTCAGGAGAGATCCCAAAGAAGTTGCATAGTCCTTCACAGGCTGAGATGCAGAAATGTGCTCTGGAGTGACATCTGGCAGGGACTGTAAATACTCAGGAGGACTGGAACATGTTTTGGCCTGCTTCAAGAGCCTGGTGACTGTCTCTTCTGCTTTGCTTCCTTCCCATCTCCATTCTTCCATATCAGACTCTCCTTTCTCCTTCTCCCACTCTTCCAATTTCTGCAACACCCAAAGACAACACAATAGAGGGAGTTCTAGTGACAGTGGTCTTCACTGTAGACTATATTATGGATGCAGAATGTAAGTTGCAAATTGCCATTATGCAGATACAATACAGTAATGTAACCGATGCTGTACAGTGCTCTACCATGGAGTTCAACTTTTCTTTTCACCAGACTCCAATGCATTCTAAGCTTTGCCTTTTTGTCAATAATTTCATAGCTTTAGTGAAAACTTGACAGTTAAAATGAAAAAGCATAGAAAGTAACGGAAACATAATCTAGTTCAAACCTACAGAATAAGTGAATCAGGCCAGCTCTCTGGTTCTTTAGCTGCTTTGATTTAGAGTTCTTACTTAGGGTTATCAATGACCAATGCAGGATATGATTCCCAGTGTACCTGAGATTCATGGAAGATGACAGTGAGGAGGTAAGTGGCATAGTCATAGTTTTGCTGTCGAAGTGGGCAACGTTCAGCAACCAGTGTCAGCGTGTCGGTCGATGCATCGTACCGTTCCCCAACGAGGCGCAGGAGCTTGTCCTTTGCATGCTTATCCAGTTTCAGGGACTCCAGCTTCACCTGCAAGAGGGGAAAGAAATTCAAAACCCTTAACCCACTGCAAATATCTCAAAGCATAGCAACAATGGTAGTTCCACAAGAGGTAAAAGGAATAGTCTCTGCTTCTCTAAAGCTGTTTTTAACTATTCTTAAAAAGACTTCAGAGTAAAGAGCAGTTCGGGCCAGCTCATTCTTAGTGTCATTTGATCAGATTAAAAAGATATATTATTCACTGTTTGGAAAAGACATGACTGAAGTCATATTCTGTTCAGGATGAAGCCCAATACCAATTAGTAACAACTGATCAAATGGTCAGTGCCACTGCTTAAAAGAAAGTGATCAAATAAGAATCTGAGTTATTTTAAGATGAAGATAGCCTATTATAGTGGAATCTATGTGCAGGCCATACTATGATTGATACATTTAAATTGCAAATAAAGGTTGCCCAATTCAAATACCATACCTTAAAGGTGACAACTCTGGCCCTTTCATCCCTGATGGTTGGACTAGAATGCACATAGTCACTTGTTATAACTTCCAGTGGGAAATGCTTCTCAATGTCCTCTTCAGTCTCTAAGCCTTTGGGCCATGCTGTGCAAAAACCTGCAATAAACAAGATTTTTCAATATTATCAATATTAGCAAATCCACAGGCAGAAAAAAATGATATAGCAATCAAAGAGGCCTATCCAAAATGATATCCTGACTTTGTAGTCAGTGTCCCCACAGACATATTACAAGGCTAATCTCCTTCAGAATAACAGATCAAGATGCAGTGATGAACAGAAGCCTGAGTAACATACTTGTCATATGCTGGTGATTCAGAAGAAAGTCACCAAGAGGAGAACAAGATGAAAGAGTAGGCACAAGAACTAAGCTCAGACTATTTCTAACATCTAAATCTTCAAATGAATCCATGAAATGCCAATAAGAATAGAGAAAAGATATTTCAAAAACTTGACTTCTAAATAATTTTCTGATCAACAACCTGGTTTGATTTCACTAGGCAACAGTGCATGTGGATAATTTATTTTTTGTGCTCAACATCTCCTACAATGGCCAAGGAGAACATGAAAGAAAAGAAAGACACTCCCAACAATGCTCATGTTTTGAGGGCCCTATATCTCACTCTTCTCAGTCCACACCTAGAGGAAGTCTTCAGAGAAAGCCTCAGTTGAGGCCCATTCAGAATTCTCTGCTTTAACTCCCAATTGAAGAAAAAACAGCTGTTCTTGTCCCTGAATCTGACTTTTTCATGTTCCTCCAACACAAGACACCTGCATTCAAGAGGTTAACATGGAGATACTCTCTCTTGTACATTGGGAACAATCACATGGAGGCATGCCCATCCTCAGCAGCAAAAGCACTATCAGAACTTCTGTTGGAATGATGCATTCAAAGAGGGGCTTTCTTCCATCATCTCCACAGTGAGACATTCAAGAAAGGGACCCTTGATGAGGACTGGATAGATGTATGGAGGAGAGTCTAGTGGTGCTACCTGAGAAGATAGCCTCCAACTTTTCCCCATAAAATAAGTGACTATAGGCTGATCTGCCCTGTTACCCCCAAGAAGAGCCTGGATCATAAAAAAAAATGTATTTCTTCATTCTTAAGTCAAACCTTGGATTAATTATAAAAATTCCACACCTAGAGGATAGACACATGGTATGACCTTTGAAGCAAATGGAACTTCAACTCAAACAGAATTCCATAAAAGTCTTAACTGTGTTTGCCTATCCGAGTTTCCTGTCCAAAATGCCCTAGTATGATACCCCCTTAAAAAAGAATCACTTACATCAGTTATGTGATTTTCATCCAATGAAAAACCTTCAATCATCTTTTATGATCAGAAAACTTGCCAAATAAACTGTGGAAACATGTCAGGTAAGAATCCTGCAAGCATTCTTAATTCTGCATGGTAATGGATAATTTTCTGTTATTCTATGGGTCCATAAAAAGCCCTTTTTTGATGGCTAAGAATCTACATTGCCATGCAACACAGAGGCTAAAATTCCCTGCTGTTCAAATGAAGCAAGAAGATCCAGTATGTCATGAACTCCATTATTGTCCCATCTATCACTTCCATCAGGATGAAATATGACTATTCCTTCATATGATAAATGGAATGCTTTTGCCACATCTAGCAGAGACTGAACAGCCCTAAATTTATCACAGGGTCTAGTTGGAGACAAGAATGGCAGCTTGAATTTTGTAGGATGCAATGATGAAAGTCAAGACTTCATTATCATCTGTTTAAAGGTGTCCATGACTGATAACTTTTAGGTAACAGGAAGATGTGAATTCTCAATTCTTAACAGCAAGCAGATGTAATAATACCTCAAGAGTCCTGCCAACTTTGAATACTAAACCAAAAGAGAAATGATGCAAAAAAATTTTACTAATAGAGACCAGCTTCTGAAAGAAGTTGATATGATGGGATTCTTCCTGGCTACTGAAAAGGTCTTACATTTTCCTTGCCACTGTGAACCCTGGCAGATGACATTGAAAAACTCATGGACTCAAGGTCTTTTGCAGATGTAACCCTGATGGAAAGAAGTTCCCAGTTCTTTCTGCAATCCTAGCAACACATAGCTCATACTCCTAAGAAATCTGAGGACATCAAGACTAAGGAAAAGAGAATTGAAATCTCTCACAAAGATGATCCCAGGTTCACAAACTTCAAGAACTATCCAGATGGATTCAAAGTGACAATAGATTACAATGCAGAAATAATAGAATATAGATCAGTGGTGCCCAACCTTTTCGGCTAGGGGGCCAATAACTCACTCCCACAGCCATCACGGGCCAGTCACTAGCATCGTAGGAGACTATGGAAACCTAAGGGTATTTATTGTGGGTTAGGACCTCGCGGGCCACTTTTTGCCCGCAGGCTGGGCACCACTGATATAGATTCAAAATGTGGAACACAAAATCTTCAAGGAGTTCCTCAATTTTATTTACAAATGAAATTGCCATAAATTGAAGCAACTTGCATCTGCATTGATGCCAAGAAAGGATTTGTTCCACTTTAAGTATTTGAAGGCTTCGTGAGAACATGCATTCATGGAGAGTGTGAATAAGGAAAACATAATACGAGGGCCACTCAATAAGTTATCTACCTGAATATGAAAGGGATGNTCCTTGGAATCAAAGTGGAATAAGTGTGTTGAATTTAAAGGTGACTACATTGAAAAATAAAGTGTTATTTTTCCCCTCAGATGTTTCTTTCTTATTCAGGTAGATAACTTATTGAGTGACCCTCGTAGAACTTGTGATTCTGGCAGAAAGCCTCTTTGGAGACATTAATGCATGGCATCATGAATATGTACATGAGAACAGGGCCACAGTGAGCCAGGGTAGCAATTGGATGTGCCCTTGGATAGAGCATCTCTATCTTGCAGACCAGATTAAGCCTGAAGATAAGCTACCCATCACTAGTATGAGCAAGAAGAAGACCGGAATATATAATTTTTTGCTGATAAAGATGCCTTCCACCCTGGCAACTGCAATCTTTTTCCTGGTATCTAACCCATCTAACCCTGGTATCTAACAATGGTATCTAACCCATTTCATATGGGTGGATTTTTTTTTTCTTCAAAACACTTCTGACTGAAAATTATTTTGTTACAGTGAATTATTATTCTAACTCACCATGTACCTGAACTCCACTAGGAATCAACTCAGCAAAAGTTGTGCAAAACTGTGGGTGCCTCAGGTCACCCACAGTTTTATGGTGGTCATGTAATGAGAAACCTATGGTAATTTCAGAATGACACAGTAATAGATGCTAAACCAACAAAAACATTACTCACGTTTGATAGCTTCACACTGTCGTTTGACAACAGGTGGAGTGAGATGAAGGAAATTGGGGATTTTCATCAATTCTGTATTGACAAATTTGCCCAAAGGTGCTTGCTTCTTCAATGGATAGCCCATCCTCACTGGCAAGGGAACTGAGGCTGGATGAAAAGTTCTAGCCACAGGCCAAACACTCCCCCAATCTTGATCTATTGACATCCTTGTATACCTACAAGATAGCAAATAATCAGTCCTGCATGGTTGATCATAAAGAATGAGCCATGGATTTAGTAAATACACCCAAAAAGCTCCAGACCACTGTTTCAGTATGCCTGGAATCAGTTGTTATATTTCATAGTCTTCAAGCAATAAGAGCATCTATCACTTGGTCTAATAGGCATAACCTTGACCCTCTGAGGATAAATCATTCTATGCACTGCAACAGCAATGAAGTGATATTATAATTTCAGGAGTAATAATTAAAATACACACCATTTGGTTCTACATGAAGTAATGGGGAGTGAAAGGATGAGAGTTTAATGATTATATGAGCTGAATGGACTATGGTCCAGTACATCATGTACTGCAAACTCAGGGCTAGCCTTTGATAGTAAGGTAATCTGAAAATTCTACACTTAAGACCAACTTCTCCAAAAGCGAGACATTCTGAGTCTAATATGCTGTTATGAAATTTATTACATAAGATGGGAATAAATTAGGGAAAATGCAATTTTTATGAACTTATCACCAAAAATAACAAGAAATGTGGACCTTTCCTAAATGTTACATCATCAATTCCATAAACTAATCTATTGATTATTTTCAAGTGCTGAAACTCTTTGCCAGTGTAGAAGTTCTGAATGTATGAAGTGCCTATGTGCTTATAATGAAATCCAAGTTTTGTTGTTTCTCTTTGAAATGTTCATGCATGCAATTCAATTGAAAAGAAGTTATTGTGCTTAAAGTCTAATAGAAGCTGACCTCATGAACTCAAAATGACTTCTCAATGTTTTCTCCTTGAGAAATTTTATTTTACACCCTCCAAGGACTGCTCTCAGAGGGTGAAAGCATACCGGGCACATGAGGATAGAAAATTAATGGGCTGAGATTTTCAGGTCCAAATCTAGCCCATAATCATACCCTTGAACCCTAGTCCATCCCAACCCCACTCAAAGAAGCTCCTCTTTCTGACAAAGCCTGACCAAGTGCTGTAAGAGAATAATTCTTCCTAGATGGCATCTACACTTGTCATGAAAAGGGAGAATGTTCATCTTTCTGAATATCTCCATCTGATATGCAAACCTCATGTTTCCCTGCACATGACATCTTTAGATGAATACAGTAGATATCCGCCAAGTTTAAAAAATATCACCCAATGCTTCAAATGCAATAACTTCTCAAAAATGTAGTATCAAAAATCAGTGAGCAAACTTAAGAATGACAAAATAATATCAAAGCCCACCACTTGAAATTTGATAACAATGTTCTAGCTCATTTCTGTCCAAAGTTTTCTTTTTGTGGTTAAGTTATGAGCCACTGTATCACTTCAAAATGACAAAAGAACAAGCTAGAACTGAAAATTTGATAAAACTCTAATGAAGATAAAATTTCTGAATAAATGATTAAATCTCCCTTCCAGGACTGGTGATGTCATTGCAATTGCATGGTGAACAATAAGAGGGGATACTTAATTTGACAAAATTAGGTGGATGATGGTATCCAAAATGTTTTCATATTTTGTATCCATAGTCAGATTTGGACAAAATTAAAGATGATTAAAAATTGAACATTCTATTCAATTTTTTGGATTAAATTAATTGGACTTTTGAAATGGCACTGCTCTAGGAATCTTAGTCACTGTCAAGTGACTGTGAGTGTTGTTAGAATGGCCAACAGACATGATAAAATCAACTCAATGGAGAGATACAATAACACTCTGGAAATAAAGATCTCCTGAAAGTGCTCTAGTAACTCTGTAGAGTTCCTCTGACTTTATGAATGCCCCTGCTCTGCCCAAATGCCAACATTTTGATTTTACAAATGTGATTCTAGACTAAGCACAGCTTAAGGCATTGGCAAATAAACTATAAGCCTCATTCACTCATGCTGACTAAGGGTATCTTTAAACATGTAGGTATAGTTACATAAAGTTACTCATATGAAACATGCTTTCCATGGATGATCAATGCATGTCAGAGTACATAGAATTCTTGATTTTCATGAGTGTGCAAAAGTATAGAGGCATTCATCCTCAAGCAACTTTCATGCAAGAAAAAATTCCCATGCATAAACCTGCCATAACATGGCAGCATAAGAACGAGAAAGAAGAAAGAAGAAATGGGAAGAATGTAAAAAAAAAACCTACATAAACAGTGATTCAGTGAAGGATAAGCTCTTCAGAAAGCGGATGTCATTCAGATGTACTTTTACATATCCTATTCCTTTATATTCTTATGATGCTATCTGCCTTGAGCATCAATATGTAATGGTATGATGGACCTGATATTTAAATTATAGGGGACTCTTTTCTCTCCCTCACACCATCACATCAAAACTGGATATGGAAATGAAAACAAAAAACAGGAAAACATCTTGCAGACATACTTGGCCTGCTTCCCCTTTACAGGAGGGGATGACTCTTTGAATAGGTTGGGGGGTCACAATGTCTCACCTCAACTGACAATGTCTCACACCTAATTCGATATCCCATTGTATGAAAGTAAGTTAAAATGCTCTTTACTTTCAGGAAGCAGGAAGTACATCTGGAGTAGGAGGGGCTGCACCACATCAAGACCTAATTGCTTGGTTCCTGGAAGTTAGCATGGATGGGAATTCTGAATTTGGTTTATCAATACTAAAGGGTCTTCATCATCTTCCCTTCAGTCATAGATTCAACTGTTTTCAAATAAGAATACCATCCCTTCATGAACATGTTGCATCTCCTACAAGCTTTGCAAGGTGGACTGTGGAGCACTAGCAATAAGGACAATGAAAGGCAGTGACCCAAAAATCTCAGCTAAACAGGTTTTTCCCAACTCTGAGGAACAACTCTCCATCAAAGAGCTGAGGATTGACTTAAACATAAAGTGACAAGGTCACAAGTTAGGACACCTGGTACCCAGGCAAAACCTGAGGCTGATTCCTATAGGTGTGGAAGCAGAACCAAAAGGTGGAGGGAGAAATACTTGATCTTAGTCTTCCTTCATTACCCATTTTGACTTTGAAGTGTGAGGAAAAATGGGGGATGGGGGGGGGGGGGAGAGGAACTAGTTGCCCTTATTAAAAAACTCAAAGCTCCAGCAAGAATTCTTCATTCATATCTTAGATTGTCAAATGACTTTCATGTTTCCTCAATAAGTGAAGAGGCAATATGTTTCAAAGAATACTTGCTCTAAAATATTCATTGACTCTTGGTATTGAATTTTTTGCATGAAGCTGTACCTTCTGGCCAGGTTTTTTTTGGGGGTGAGCATGCTCCATGCTAAGTTTTGGCTTGAAACATGTAGCATCTACAAGTAAGTAAAGTCATAAGTTGCATACACCTTATTAGTGTTCTAGCATAGGTAATCACAGAAGCAGGGATTGATGCAGAGAGAGAAGGGACCAAGCATGACCAGCTGTACCAGTAAGGCTGCCAAAAGGCCAAAGGGGTTAAAAGGCATGGTTACAGAGCAACTTTTATGCAAATAGACACCTCTGAGTCTATATTCTTGAAATTTTGTGGCTCTCAGGAGAGGGATGATGCCACCATATAACCCCCCCCCCCCTCTCTCCCCAAATAAAGTATTTCCTTTAATCAACACTGACAGAGCTCGAATTGCAATATGTCAGAAAAGAATTAGTAACAAGACTTTCAGTGTGCATTAGGTGCTTGTATTGCATGCACAAATGGCACTTATGCATAAGAAGAAAATGCTAATAGTTTTTTGGGACTAACTTCATAACCCAGTCATAATAATGTTGATTGGAAATCTTCAAAGTCAAGTTAGAAGTAGAAGCACTCAAAATCAATTAAAAGCCTCATGAAGGATGCCAGGCATAAATCAAGTCAAGGTGCCTTAGTAGCAAGGCTCTTTTCTAATGAACACTGAAAGGAAACTCTGCAAAAGGCTGTATCACCACAATATCTTTTTTACTGGCTACCTCTAAGATAATGGGGTTCATCCTCTTCCCCCTCTACTCAGCTGTGCAAGTCTCCAGAAATGGCTTTTCTACTTCCCAGATTTTCTAGGGGAACCCAGTTTTATGAACTACGAGGGATATCCAGAAAAAAAGGTTACAACAGCTGTTAAAAATCTAAAAATGAATATATTTCAACCAAATTTACAGGGTATGTTCCAAAATATGTGTTTGTTTCTCAACATAATCGCCGTCAACTTCGATGCACTTCTTCAGCCTGGGCACCAGCTTTTTTATACCCTCGTCNGTGGGAACATTTCATGAAGGGTGTCAATCGTCACATGACGATCACTGCGAATTTTTTCATCAACTTGCTGCAGAAGCTCTTCTGAAACGAGAGACGGCCTCCCACTCCTTTCTTCGTCATGTGTCAGTGCGACCTTCTTTGAACGACCTCACCCACTTGTAAACATGCTGACGTGACATTACCTCAGGTCCATAAGATTCCACAAGCTGACGATGGATCTCGGCCGCGGATTCGCGACGCAAAGTGAGGAACTTGATGACCGAACGAATCTCGCATCGGCGGTAGGTGGAGCAAACAGCCTCAGCAGAGGTTGACGAACTCGCTTGCTGTGACGACATTTCACAACTGATTGACGCGGTCCCGGGCTTATTTTGACCATTAGGAACCCCCCTACACGCAGGTATGCCAACCTTCGAAAAAAAAATTCCCTGCACCCTCCAGGGCACTTGTAACCTTTTTTTCTGGATATCCCTCGTAGTCTTGTATGAAACATTTTCAGATTGATTTTCCACAGTTATGGGCATGCTGTTACGATAGACTCTACCCTATTGACATCTCAAGATCAAGATTCTAAATTGCTCAGAAGTGCCCATTGGCCATGTTGACACAATAGGCATTTCAATGAAAGACATGCTACAGCTGCTGAGACCAGAAGGGTCATGGACTGCAACAGATTCTATGTGAAGTGTGCACAAAATGAATCTAAAAGGCTTATGCCCTACTATTAAATCAGGCAAGAATTTCAGCTACCTTGGTGGCATAACTTCAGCACGTGGGACAGCCTTTCTCTCAGGATATTTGCTCTTCTTCTTGAGAATGTCCAATACTCTAAATTCTCCATCTGAAAAGAATAGGAATTAAGAAACAGATTGGATAGGTTCAACAATAATACAGAACATATTTAGGCATACCTCTTGAAATAATTTAGTGCAGCCACAACTCCCAATTTTTTTTATTCCAGTGCTCTGGCTGAAACTACTCTACACTATTCATCCAAAAAATAAAAGAATCCATCCCTTCTGTGGATTTTCTCTCCAGAACTCTTCCATATGACTCTAGGACTATAGGGGCTTTCATGCAGTGAATTTCATGGGAGACAGGGGTGGATTAAGGGGGGGGGGGCAAAGGGGCTGATGCCCTGGACCTTTCTTTCCAAGGGGGCCCCAAAGGAAATTAAAAACATTAAGTATTTGTGTAAATTAGTGGATGTTACAAATAAAATTTGCTATACCAGTGCCCAATTGTATAGCTACTCTCAGCTACTTGCACCACCAGGTAAAATGTCTTGAGAGGCCCCAAGAATCCACTTGCCCCATCAGGGTCAGACTGGTCAACTAAGATATTTGGAAATTTCCTGGGAGTCCCCAGACCAAGAGTAACACATGATATTCAGCAGTAGTGCATCATCAATGGAGGCAGGGTAGGCCCAGTCCTATGATACCTCCATTAAGATCCCACTACTGCTGAAGATCACAAGATGCCACTGCCCTAGATCTGATTTAAAAAATTATATGTAGAATTATTGTAAAAATTAATTGCAACTAAAATTAGTTATAATTATATCAACATAAGTTATGTATCCATCCCTGAATTTTTCATATGTATATTCTTGGGAAGGGGGGGGATGGGGTGCAGGCTGCCAGTCCAACCCTGTGCCCCAGGCCTTGCAACTTCTTAATACAGCCCTGATAGGAAAATTCTCAGAATGCTCTTTTCATTCTACTGGAAGACTATCAGAACAGGAGTAGGGATTCCATGAGCTATTTGCGGTTCTCTCATCATATCCAGGCCTTGAAACAATAGTTTAAAGTTGTCTAAAAATGTTGGGGCAAGAAACTGGCACTGTGCAAAGTCTTCCATATAGGCATGAAAACCACAATATGTTACAATATGCTTGTTTGTATAGGCCTACAGACCTATAACAAAAAAAAACAGGCTTGTAGCCTATAGTTCTAGGCTTTCCAGTAAGCAAGATCTACGTTTGCATGAATAACCATTGTTTCTCATTCCATAGGAAAACATTACCAAAACCTATCAGGTCTAAAAAGGGATTACCTTTAACACATGTAACTGAAACCTCATGGTACAGGCGTCCGCATGGGCTCTATTTGATATGTTGTCGCCTTAGTGCCTTGACATCCATACTAGATACTAACGTTAACGTCAAGGTTTAATATCCTAGCCTTAACATTAGGCATATTTCATTTCTCTACCACAAGCGTTCCCACGGAAAACAATACCTGATTTAAATATACATGGGTTCTCGCCCTGCATCCTACTACTAAAGTGAGATCGAACTATAAAAAAAATGCTTCTTCAACACGAAAGATCACTTGATTAAAAGGACTTGGATTTCGAATCATGTTTCACCTGTTTTTTGTGACGCTACTTCTCTTGCTTCTTGTCGCTGACTCTTGGAAGTGTGAAAGTATGCTGGAATTAGTTTCCTCACACTTGAACCCCTAAAATAGCTTGGGTCAGAATATGGAAGGTGACAGCCGGCCTTTATGTTGAACACCACGTGCTTCGCTCTCCCACAGTGCACCGCCATGTTTAACAAGCACGGTGTCACTGATGCTCAGTGACTGCTGTCGGGTTCTGTTCGTCAAAGAAGGACTGATTAGAATGGTCGCTTTCCTGCTATTATTTATCTTATCTTTTACCTTTTTGTAGCACCAGCTTCTATTTGAATGAATCTCAGACATGATAAGCCCGCCCTTTTCGAACAGAATACTGGCAGAGCAGCATTCCAGACAGCCAGGGTCTCAAGAAGCACATTTGACAACAAGAAGTAAACATGCTGTAGACATTCTGTAGTCACAACAAATGGTTTAGATAGGCTAGGATACTTGGTTCCTCCTTGTCTTAATGCTTTTCGTGCTTTTTATATCTTTAAAAGAGGCCTCATCAATTTTTCAGAAAATTGTACTCATGAAAATTTGAACCCCCTTGAGATTTCACAATGAGGAAGGGATTCACAAGTGCCCAAATTGGGAGATTCTTTCAGGAGGGCCCACGACTGGAGAACATCTTTCTTACCTCGCCCATCATGAAACCTTTTCTGAGGCGTCATCTCCCGCCTTCGGTATGGAAAACAGACCAGATATGAGCAGTTTGGGGGATGGAAACTCGAATGCGTGAAGTGACTCAAACTAATGCAGTATCTAATTTCATTTTTTTGTATTGCTATGAAGATTGAATTATTTGTTTCAATGAGTAGTTGAGTACCCTTTACTAATGCCAGTGACTTGGCAAACAGGAAAAAGAAAGGATACCACTCAGAATTAAACAAGAGTTCACTATTGATGTAATACAAGGCCTAGAGCACCAAGGTGGGGGGGAGGGTTCATTATAAAGCTTCCCAAAGAACCTGAATGCTCACCCTGAGCAGCCTAAATTGCGACGGTAGCTGGTAAATTTGTTCATGTGACTTTCTTTTGAAAATACTTATGTTCCCAATAAATATTTCTTCAACATTTCCTGTAATTGCTTACCAGATGGCACTTTTTTTTTATTCTGACAAGAAATTATAGCTGCTGCAACTCTGATTAACCTATAATTATAATACGTCTTTCTGTAATGCCTTAATGCTGTAAAACATGAATATCCTATTCCATGCTGTTCCTTACTAAAAATTTTTAATAAATGTAAATATAATGCTGCCCTTTTTCAACTCATTGCAGTGATACACAACAGCATTTAAATCATTTCCTCCTAATTTTGGTAAATCCCATTGCCCCAAGTGATAATTGGTACTTTCTCTGAAATGAGGATGATTCATAAGTCTTATGATTTGCTTTCTTACTGTTTAAAATTTTTTAGCTTGTGTTATGTTATTTTTCCCCTGATACTCTCACAGTCCATTCTAATAAAATTTGCAAAAATAATTGAACTTTTGAATTCTGTTTTGGCAGGGGGGAATGGGAAAGCTAACCACCTTGTCTCCCATCATTTTCAAAGATGGGAGGAGCAGGCACCCTCTGGTGGTCCACCTTAATCATAAACTTTGTGAATGAACAGAATGAAGTGATCTATTCATGGTTCTTTTTCTGGTCAACCCTTGCATGAGATTCTGATACTTCAGGTGTTCTTCATGTTGGGAAAATGTCCAGATTTCCAAAATAAGTTTCTCAGTGTGAAGAATTTGGACCAGAGTTAGGGGATCTAAACTCTCCTCACAATACCACTGCTTTTAATGATTATTTGAGAAGAGATTAGATGAGATGAGATCATGCCATTCTGCATGGTGTTTTCTCATTGCCATGGTATATTGAAAAACTGGCTTATGGGGTTGAGTGATAATCCATTCAGTTATAAAAGTTTTCAATATGGTTGGAAAATCTTATTCAGTTTCATTAGGACATGTTTATTAATGCCTGATGTGGATTTCAGCAAAATTCTTATAATCTTTTGATCTGTTTCTAGAAGGCTGGATGTCTGCAGTGCTTCATCTGTCACATAATAAGGAGTCATATTTGAAGCTTTTACTGTGTTCTTGGTTTGGGCTGATTTGAAACTTTTTATTGCTTAGACCAGAACTAGAAAATTATTAAGAAAAGTTTGAGATCACTCATAAATTTAAAGTTAAGCCATGAACTTGACTTTCTGGGATAGCATAAGCTCACCTGAAATGTAATAAATAGTATTCTTGACCCATTGCTGTTTTTCTGGGGATATATATAGAGTGTTTTCAATTGGAGTAACACATCCTTTATGAGCCTGCAAAAGTGATCTATTTTTAGTAAATGTAATGAATATTTTCATTAAAATTTATTATCAAGTGCATTTTCATTTTCTTTGAAGTGACTGGAAGGTAAAATGCCACAGAATTGCAAGCACAGCAATTCCACAAAATTTGAATGATGCAGTTTCTTCTCTAAAGCTTTTAAATAAGTTTAAAATATATGTAGGATCACCTTGTAGCCTAAGTCTGAAATGAATCTACCTGATGAGGGGTACCTAGAAGATAGAAACTAATCCTGGTCAGCATTCGTTAAGAACATCCCAGAGTTGGCATTTGGCACTATGTTGACCCTTCAACCACCCAACCGAATGAGTCTCTGTTCCTGATATGAAACTCTGCTGGATCTACAGCCCAACTCATGGGAATGGCATTGCTCCAGATCCTTAGAACTCTCTGACTACCTCTTATGTATTTACAAAACAATTAATCATCTTTCTAGATGAAGAAAAAAGTTTCTGCTTCTCTGGTTGCCCTCACTCATCAGGATGGGAATTTTTGCCCCAAAACTTTGTTTTGCATTTTGCTAAGAATCACATGTGTAACATGCTTGATTCTTAAGGAAAACTACACCTACCTGTTCTATGTCACAAGCACGCATATATCTCTAGTGTTGTGAGTGTTAGTAGTTACAGCGTTCAGGGGCATTGTAAATGAAATAAATTAGAGCTATGTTTTATAGCCACTTTTTAGCTTAAATCCTTATTCAAAGCCCTTCTGCTCAGGAATTTAGCGAGGTGGCTGGAGATTTGGAGGCATTTGGGGAGCGGGCTAGAGGGGAGCTATGGGACCTGGCCCAGGAATGTGAGGCCAATCAACCTCGATTGGAACAGTACACACCGTGGGGGAAACGAGAGGATCGCATCATCACATGTGGGGCCTGGAAGGCATTGAAGAAAATCTCCATTGAGGAGGGCGTGGTGGGCATTGCATATGAGAGAAAACGTGGTGCCTACAGTCGACTGCATCAGATGATGAAGGCTGCTCTCTTTCATCCAAGCTCTGCCTTTGTCACCTGCCCCCTTTCTATGACTGATGGGGCAGCAAAAACCCTTGAGGTCAGAACTACTTAATTGACATGAATGATCCTTGAACTTTGTAGTTTTTCAATGTGATAATCATGAGGGGAAAATGACATGCCATAAAGGAAAATAAAACTGACTTCAAGCATGATCTGAAAATGAATGTACTCTGTTTGCTGACTATGTAAAGCCATGGTATAAGCTGTCTGCATTAAGGGATTTAGGGAAACTAAGAAAAGCAATAGTTGAACTTTTCTTTTTACTAATTGGATAGGCATTTATTGCAATCCCATATTCAGGGAGGGTGCCATTTGACATTATTCTACAAACCATGGGGGATTTGTAGAATAATGCTTGTAAGGCAGCAGTAAGGGTCTTTAAGTCTCATGAAAGTTTAAATCATTATGCTTGATATTGGGGAAACAACAAGAGACTGCATTAATAGTATATTGACTAAAGAATTTGTCATGAGTCATGAATAGTTATTCTCAGGGGTGTACAACATATGGCTTGCAAGGTCCTTGTTCATGGCCTGCCTTGACTGCAGTGTTATAAGTGCTACTGTGGTTCCTGCCCTGTTGGGCACAGCTATGGTCAGTCAGGCTGCAGCCCACACTATGTGAATAAATATCGCTAGTGGTCTTTTGAGTTGTGCACCCCTGCTCTACAGGAATGTTTACCTATGAAGTACTACTTGCTTAAGAGGTTCTATACTAGCATTAGATCATGAGAATAGAGTGAACTTGGCCCAATGACACATGTTCTTCAATGCAGCATTGCATCACATGGTGGTGCTGATGTCTTGCTAGGTTTTCAAGGTATAGGTTGTACCTTGGAGTATTTCTGCTCACATGTACCATAGAAGCAATAAATTTTCCAGTCATATCTGATATTTACTATTTGCTGTTCTGAAAATATGAATTGTAGGCCTTGAAGAGGGAAAATGGAAGTGATGAAGTAGGAGAAGCTTACTCACGTCTCATATCTACTGATCCTGACAAGGCCTGGACATCAGGTATGACATCCTGCTGTCTTCATCATGCTATTTATTCATAATCAAGAGAGAATCCTTGTGGCCAATATGCATTCTTTATTTGAAGGTCTCTCATTCTAGTACTGTCTCCTTCCCCACATTTTGGCATTTTCTTCAAAGAACAGAATTTATTCAGGTTTCTGTTGTGAAAAAATTGTAATAATTCAATTCCCATATGTAATATATTTCCATCTGGATGAATCTTCTAGAGACTGCCTCTTAATCAGAATGATTGAAAGATAAGCTTCCTATTGGTTTGGTTGGAAAAGGAAAGTAAGTTCAATGACAAATGTATGAAATCTTGGGAGGAACCTCTAGCCCATATTGTTTCTTTGGTATATTTGAAGGGTCTTGCTATTTGATATTACTCATTTGCTTGCTACATGATTTCTCAGCATCTATGATACCTGATGCCATCCTCAGTGACACTGATGAGTCCTTACAATGAGTATGGCCACTTTCCTGATTCAGGGGCTGTTGAAGAGGACCGTTTCACGTGAAATTTTGTTGTTTTTCAGGGCAATGGATGACAGAGCGGGGTGGAGGTTCAGATGTGGCCAATGGATGTGAAACAACTGCATATCCACGTGAGGGTGAGGATGGATTCAATCTACATGGGTACAAATGGTTCTCTTCTGCAATTGATGCCGACATGGCCCTCACGCTGGGCCGAATCCACCTGCATGGTGCGGAATCTGTGAAGCTCTCCCTCTTCTATCTCCCTGTCAGGCAGCCTGAGGGTGGAAGCCTGAATGGAATCCAGGTTCTTTTCATTTTTCCTGATCACTTCAATGCAACTCTGGAAAATACTTTAGAATCACATGTAGGAATTGTGATTGTAGGTAGTGAAGCTGAAGAACAAATTGGGCACACGGCAGTTAGCAACAGGAGAATTGCTTCTGGATGGAACCAGAGCACATCTCTTAGGACAACCAGGTCGTGGAGTGGCAAATATCGCACACATGCTGGCCATCACACGGGTGCATACAGCTGTTGGTGCTGTTTCTGCAACACGCAGGTAAGGCAGGATAAACTCTGGTACTGCTTTGAACTCATTGAAAATTAAGTTTTATTTGGAATATAAATATAAATTCAACCATTATAGAATATTGCTTTTTGATAATACTTCGTATGAAAGGAGTTTTAAAGCAACAGTAGTATTTGACCTAGTTGAGTAAACCTATGATGTCCACAGTATCTCAATGTTCTATTTGATAGACCCCACATGTTCATGAACATTAACCCTTTCACTGCTATGATCGAGTTAACTTGAGTGTGGAAATGGGTATCTTCTTGCAGTATTTCTTGTTTTTCTTACCTGAGATTTTTCAGGACAATCTGAACCAGTCCAGTTATACACTAACATGATAATGTAAATGAGGGAACATGTTTTTTTTTGTTGCTTTTTTATAAGTAGGACCCCCCATTTTTGCACCAGAAGCAAAAAACTCAATACTGGGATGTATAAAATATAAAAAATGTAGCAATGAAAGGGTTAAGAGACTCATCAATTTAACTTTGTTAGCTCATCTTTTCAGCATGGTGTTTGTTATGCACATCTATTGAGAGAATAGTCAGAACCTAAAAGTTTGGACTGTTTTATTCTGTTCTAGTACATACACTAGCACTTCATTGAACCTGATTGATAACACTTTGTTACAATCCTCCCTTCAGAATAGATCCTCTGGATGCTCCTCTCTTGGCTTCCTGATTTTTTGCTTCAAAATCTACATTAGTATCATCAGAATATTGAATCATTTTGCTGAATTCCACATTAATGTCCTTGTCATTCATGTCAGTAAGAAAGTGGTGTTTGAACCAATATTTAGTTTCTTGGGATACCCCACTAAGAACTGCAGTTGAACAAGATGTAGTTTCTCCAGGTTTCAGTTTTTATTAAACAGAATCATTCTGCATGCTGAATACAGAGTCATTTTCACCATTTCTGTTCATTTAATGGCACTATTCAAACCCCATAGATTCACTAGGGACATTCCCCAGGGGAAGAACTATGTAGGAGGAAGGCCTCTCCCTTTCCACTTGCTAGTCATGTTCATGCTCATTCATGAATTCCATATTTGGGACACTGCTGAGATCTTTCACCATGCCAGTGCCTAGGCTGGGCTTGCTAATGCTTTCTCGTGATTGTGCATTTGTGATATACAGAATATGAGAAAAAATTGTCAGCAATAGTACATTGTTGTCTCTTGTGAGATTTTTGGAACTGAACAGCTGTTGATTGTTCTTGATATGTTAAAGCAGTGTCTCATAATTGTCATTTGGATTCATGTGCCCAAAGTCTACCATTTGTGAATGTAACTTCAAAAAGTTCTCATTCTATTTTGTGCTTGTAGGATGATGCAAATGGCTGTGGATTATGCAAAGAAGAGAGAAGCATTTGGAAAACTGATCATGGAGCATGCATTACATAGCAAGACACTTGCAGAGATTGAAGTGGAGCTGCGAGGGATGGAACTCTTCGTCTTTCACTGCGTCCTACTGCAGGGGAAGGAAGACGTTGGGGAAGCTTTGGACCGCGAGCGACTCCTTCTTCGCATCCTCTTGCCACTGCTCAAGGGTTATGTCCCACCAAGGACCATGCAGCTCATGACACAACTCCTTGAGGCATTTGGAGGTCAAGGCTACATTGAAGACACCGGCATCCCTACTCTGTTCCGTGATAATCAAGTGAGAGTTTCAGCTTCCTACAATCCTAAATTGTCTCATGGGGCCTGTAGGTGTCCCTTTACATCTGATGGAATTGTGGGGGAAAATCCAGTGTGACACAAAAATTGAGGAGTAACATGGGTGTGATTTTCATAACCTTGCAGTTGCAGGATTGTTGTTGAATATTAACTTGACTCAAAATTGTGCAAGTCACAAAGTCAAGTGTGGAAGTTGAGGTGAACTTTTCAGATGGCACAACAGAAATTTCCTTCATCCATCCTTTTAGCCTCTTTCTCCTGTTGGGAAGCTTGGAGGCTCTGCAGACAAATGTTAAAATTTTCCATTGAACTTATGCTTGGCCATTTAAGGACAAAAAAAGGCTTTAAATATTCTACTTCCTACTTGCTCATACCCATTTTATATAGCATACATGGTTTAGATTTCCTACATTGTTGCAATTTTTTCTATTTTGATAGAATCAAAGTTTTTCTTTTAAATTTTGTGCAGCTTCTCTTTTTATGAGGACCTATTTTCCATGAGGGAAAGTACCAGGCAGGTGATTTTCCTATGAAAGGTTTTCTCAGTTCATCATTTAAGCAAATGAGAAAGGATTGAGAAGAAAAGGAGACAGGTTTTTCTTTTGCATAAGTCAGCATGATCTGTTGTGGCATGAACAGCTTGAAGTGACATAGATTTGCAGAATGCCTCTAGATTCAACAAGTTTGGAGGAGTTAGTGCCAATGTGGTCCACATTTGGCCCACCTGATAGGTGTTTTTGCGAACTCTCATAATTGTTCTCTTGTACAGAACCAATGTTGTGTGAAGGAAGGTTATTGATATCTTGGTTCATGTGTATATTGGTAGGTCTAACTTGAGTAGATGCACAATACAAGGGAAAAGGAGTTGAAGAAATCCAGTTTCATGCACTCTGTTCTTTGCAGGTGAACCCGATCTGGGAGGGAACGACCAACATCCAGGCACACGACCTGGTCCGGTCGATTCACAAGACCCATGGGGAAGTGCTGCAGGCGTTCGGATCGTCCCTGGAAGAACTTACCAAGAAGTCAAAGAATGCTCATCCTTCTTGTACACAGCTCCTCAGTGACTTCAATGCTCTCATGAAGTTTTTGAAGGACAATCCTCAGCTTCTCCCTGTCGTGGCAAGGCATCTTGCCCTGGACCTGGCTCGAATCTATACCGGTATGAAGTCCATGCCCCTTGTTGGCTGCTTCTTCTGTACATATGGCTGCACGGTGCTACCCAGAGATCTCCCCGTTCCCACCAGCATATCTGCTAGATATCTTGTGTCCAATTTTCGTTGGGGACTCTGTCGGTAGTCATACTAAACCCTTCCAAACCTTTTCACACGGTATAGAACAAGTGTGCATTTGGCCAAAAGAGAAACTTAGTTAAATTTCTGATTCTGTCACTGCAGACTCAGCCCAAGTGAATTACCCAAGAGTAGAAAATCATGCCATCTCTTGTCGCTTCTGTGAACTCCTATGAGATCCTCTACGAGATAGCACACTTCCCGCATGAAATTGCACCATAGAGGCAAGGCATGGCTTCCTGTAATCCCATAATGAAACCTACGATGCGTTGCAGGTGCTCTCCTATGGGATCACGCAGTGGCAAGGGAGGGTAAGCCCGGCTGGGAAGTCGACAGAGCGGCCGCCCTCAGATACACCGCGTGGCTCCCCGGCCCCTCCACGCTGAAGCTCCACGGCCTGGAAGCCTACAGCGAGAACGCCCAGCGCATGGATCAGGACCTCCTCCACCCCGTGGATGCCTAGGGACTGCACTCTGTCCTCCTCTCAGATGCCTTTTCGGTCTGTCCTCCTCTCAGATGCAATTTTCATTCCATTATCTTTGTCACGGGCGTCCAGAGTATTTTTTGAAGTTTGTTCTTTTTGGGATCGCTTTATGCATGTTGCCTACGGTTTGTTGTCATCGCAATGAAATGCTTTACGAAATCTCTGGGGCCATCCTTTCATTGTAAGAGCGGGTGAATGCTCTCCCATTTTCTGAAGAAAAGAATGCTTAAGTATAAAATGGAAGACCTTTTCGTAAATTGGGATTGTCTTGGAACCGATGCCAGCCGACTGAAGGGAAATTTTCATATCTGGCCAATTCACACTCGGTTCCACCCCACTCGTGGAAGTAGCTTCGAAAGTTGTGGAATAAAATTCTTAAGCATTTCTGTGAACAAACCGAAAGGAATTCGGTTCTCCGGGGCTCAGCTCGATGTCGCAGGATCGAGTAGGATTTTTCGGCGAAGCACTGAGCCGGTCCGAACGATTGAGGTACGCGTCGCCTCGTCTCCGATCGATCGGGGATTGCCGATCGATCGATCCGACCCACGATTTCCTCCCTGAATCTGACGAAGGAAAAAAAAAGGCAGGAGAACTGCAGCCAGCGCCAGTTCGCTTGGTCGCGGAGACGAAAAATGTGAAAAGGAGAAGGTGGATGTGCCGCCTTTTAAGGGCCGTTTCTCCAAGGTTGGCGTGCGGACGAAAAAAAAAAAAAAGAGC